CTCACCCCTTCTTGTGGGGAGTGGGCAGGGCACAGCATGACCTGACCAGAGGCCGGTTGCAGGCAGCCCACAGTCTCCACCGTGCGGTCCATCGCTGTGCCATGCTCTGGAAACAGAAGGTGCTGGGCTGGGGCAGGGAGCCTCGGCCACCTGCATCCACCATGCCCAGCAAGAGAGTGACACTTGAGGGTCCCCTTCCCAACCGCATTGCTGTGGGGCCTGGAGATGCCACCCTGGAGACCAAGAGGCTGAGGACTCCTCATGGGCCTCAGGGAGCTCTGGGCAGCATGACCCTGGCTGCCGGGGACTCCCAACTCCTGGAGCTGTGAGTAGCCCATCCCTCACTGCTTCTCCTCGCTTCCACCTGGGGCAAAGCTCGGACTGTACTGGAGGGAGGACACTGGGCCCTGAGGGTCACAACTGAACTGCTCCCTCTCTCCAGCAGGATCCCGTCCCTCCCATTCTGCCGGGCCCTAAGAGGGCCCACAGTCTCTGTCCCTCCTGGGTGTGGGGGAGAGAACATGCAGTTAGCAAAGGGAATAGGGTGTGGGGCAGCCCCACCCTCCTGCCCCTAGACCTACCAGTCACCCCACTTCCCCCGTTATGGCTGGGAAGCAGGCTCCCCCTAGGAAACCTCACTTTTTGTGACCTGTCTCCTGCCCCATCCTCGCACACCATGCTGATGTAGCTGTGAGCTCCCACAGTGACCAGCACTGCCTGAGCCTGGGGGAGAGGCCAGCAGGGAGGGCCACCGGCCTGGGTCTCAGTCCTGCTCTGCCTCCCTCACCGCCTGACCCTGACAAGGGCCCAACCCTGACGAGCCTGCTCCTGGTGATATGGGATGAGCACCTATGTCACCTGGGTTGCTGTAGAGGTCAGATGAGACGACGTGGGTCAAGCGTCCCCATGGCATGAGGCCTGCTTCATTGGAATTTCTAGAAGTTCCATGTGGTTCGGGCCCATCCCAGCTCACCTGCTGACCTTGGGCAAGAACCTTTCCTTCTCTGGCCTTCAGTCTCCCTGTGAGATTGGAGGGGTCAGACTGGATGACCCATCTTACAGAGGTCTCAGGCCCCCTGCAGCCCCTGAGCGGCCTGCAGGAATGGGCCCATGTTTCTTCCCAGCAATGCTGCCCGCTCAGCAAGGAAGCAGCCTCGACGCCCCGACTTCCTGCTGGAGCCTGTGCAGAGCCAGAGGCCCCTGGGTTGTGGCACCTTCAGGGGTCTGGGGTAGGTTGTGTGGTCCTGGGCCCCCAAAAGCAGGTGGTCCCTCCATCTGGGGCCTGTGATTTGGGGCCTGAGGGAGGGTAGCCCCCTTTCCCCTTCTCCCTCCTCTTCCTTAGGAGGGTGCTATGGCCTGACCAGCTCCTGCCTTCCCTCTGCTCAGGCCGGAGGTGCTGCGGGAGCGTGGCCTAGGTGTGGCCCAGCCAGCGGGCCCTTCCATGACAAGGCCCTTCCTGGCAAAGGCCCAGACAGCACTGGTCCCAGGCAGCCCCCTGCCCCAGCCCAGGGCCCTGCTGAGTCCCCCCGGCCTGAAGCTGCCCCCCACAGCGAGTACAGGCCCAGAGCTGCTGCCCCCTTCCTCCTTCATGCCACGTGGGACAGAAGCACCCTCCAGCGTAAGTCCTCCCTGGGTACCTGGGGGTCTGTTCTCTGGCCTTTTGGTGCTCTTTCTCATGCACTCGGGGCTGTAGCCACAACTGTGCTCATTGCTTCTGGACACTCCTGGCTCAGGAAGATGCAAGGAGGCCACTCAATCATTCACCAATGATTGTGGCACCAAGTGTAGGGGCCACTGTCCGAGGGACATAGTGGTGAACAGCCTGCTGAGGCCCCTGCTCGTGAAGCTTATCTCCCAGTGGCAGAGACTAAAGAAATCCCCCCAATGCAGACAAATGAAGAGACTGCAGATCATGGCGGGTCGTGTGGGCCCTGGGGAAATATTTGGAGGAATATTTGTAGGAAGTTGTGGAGGATGTTTGGGGGCTGTGATCCGATGGCCCAGCGGATGGTGCTGGTGGCTGTAAACCTTCAGTGGGAGGCGGAGTAGGCAGGACTTGCTCTGATGGGTTTGATAAGAGAGTGAAGGAAGGAATCCAGGATGGCTCCTGGGTTTCTGGCTTGAATAACTCAGAGAATAATGAGTTCTTTTACTCAAAGAGGGAAAAGGGGGGTGGGGACCCGTTTGGGGTGAAGCATGAAGAGTGCGTCTTAAACTTGTCAAATGGGAGAAAAGCTGCAAGACTGTGAGTGTGGCCTTCAGGGAAGAGGTCAGGGCTGGAGATGAAAATTGAGAATCCACACGGATTGAAGGTAAACCCCTGGGCACCAACGAGGTGCCCTGGAAGAAGAGGGCCCTCAGTTCCTGGGGCACGTGACACCAAAGTCGAGGAGTCTGGGCAGGGAGCTGTGAGAAAGCATGAGTGCTCAGAATGGAGGAGACAGCAGTGGGGTTGGGCCACCCCAAGGAGCTGGTGTCTGAAGAGAGTGCGAGATAAGCAGGAGTGGTGAGGGGGTGGGGGGGTGATAGGAGAGACACTGTCACCAGGAGGGAATGGAGGAGGGTTGTAGGTATGTGGTTGGACAAGGAAAACAGTTGCCTCTGACCACTTTTCTCACCGAAGTACAGACGTCACGGCTGAGTAGGCGGGGGTGAAAGGTCAGTAAGGCCTGAAACAGCTCTTGGGTGGTACTGAGCCAGGCCCTGGGCAAGGGGTGGGACCTAACTGCAAAGGTGTGGGGTGCTCCCTGGGTTACTTGTGGGACGTTCTCCATCAGTGTCAGGTCCTGAAGGAAGGGGCAGGGCCACACTGGGTGAGCTGGCTGCAGCGGGTGTGGGGAAGCCCAGCTCCTGGGGCCTCACCTAACCCTGGTCCCCCAACAGTGGGCAGCCTCGGTGCCCCCTCCTTGGCCTTCCTCTCAGCTTCCCTGCTCAGTTTCCATCGTTCCTTTACAGGTGTCAGCACTGCCAACCACCCCTGGGCTCATGTCCCGGGCCTCTCCATCCCCAGCCAGTGTCCCTGACCCCTGCCTGCTCCTTCCTGGGGACTTCACAGGCACCAGACATGGGCCTGGCTTTGAAACTGCAGGTGTGCACCTGAAGCCTGGCAGCACAGTGAGCACTCGGCCCACTCCCAGCACCTGGGCTCCCTGCATTCAGCCGGGGCCCAGCTGGAAAGGTGGTCAAGATGAAGCTTATTCTCCTGTTGCCATGGGCCACACCGATCTGGAGGCTGAGCTTGAGGGCATCCAGCAGCAACTGCAGGACTACCAGACCACGAAGCAGAACCTCTGGTAAGACTCAGGCTGCCGCCCGTCCCCAGGGAACAGTGGGGAGCTCTGTCTCCCCAGAGCTAGCTGCCAGGGTCCTGGGGGTGATGCCTCTACACTGTGCCAGCCCCCCGCAGACAGGTGGCACCTTGACTTCTCAGTCCTGCTCAGGAAGGTCCCAGCTGGCCTTACCTGTGGGACAGGGGACAAAACTGAGCAAAACTTTAAACTTGACTGGGTCAAGTGAAAGCCAGGCCAGTGGTCTACCCAGGAATTGATGATGACATGGGATGACGGTGCGGAGAAGATAGGCCTGGGCCGCAGGTGCAGTCAGCCATCCTGTCTTGCCTGTGGTCTGGGTGCAGAGCCCACACCCCCCATGCTCAGGCTCGAGGCTGTCCACACGAGCAGCGGCCTTGGAGGCTGAAGGGAAGTGGGCAGGTCCCGCACACTCAGCTCTGCACAGGGAGAGGGACAGGGAGGGTTTCTGCCTGGGCCCCCTGAGCTGCTGTCTGCGGGCGGTGGAGGCTGGCAGAGGAACAGGAACAACCCTCCTCTCTCCACCTGCATCAAATAGCTGCTGTTTGCTTCTCCCTGAGCCAAAGGCTCTGCCACGGGCCCAGCCAGGCAGCAGGTGTCTCACTCCCTCAGGTCCTATCAGCGGCAAGCGAGGAGCCTGCGCCGGTGGCTGGAGCTGAGCCGGGAGGAGCCCAGGCCTGAGGACGAGGAAGCAGAGCAGCAGGTGCAGGAAGAACTGCAGGAGGTGAGGCCCCAGGTGGCCCCTGGGACAGCTCCCAGGCTGTGCTTCCTCTCAGCTCAGCCCGTCCCTCTCACCCCCAGGTGGAACTGCAGATCCAGCAGCTGGCCGCTGAGCTCCAGGCCCAGCGCCAGCCCATCAGCGCCGGCATCGCCCGCCTACAGGCCCTGCGGCGGGCTCTGTGCTAGTCATCGCCCCGGGGAGGCAGGTGCTGGGCCTCACGGGAGGCCTCAGCCCACCTCCAGGAACAGAACGCAGAGCTGCAATGAGTTTTTTTATTTCAAATTGTTGCAATTAAATGAATTACTGTTCAGAAGTCTCCCACTTTTCATACAAAAATACTGTGCTACTGATACAGTTGAAAAAGTTCAAATGGCTTCTCCTGCAGGAGAAATTCACAGCATCCCCAGGAAACATGAGACCTGGCCCTGTCCCCACCATCAGTGGCTCCCCAAGGACTGTGCATCTGTTACCTGGGGACAGGTTTTCTAGGCACTGACCCCTTCCCCCAAACACACCAAGGCTCCTCTGCTTCCACCGCAAGCTCCTGAATCAATAGCAGCAACTTTCCCGTAGTCTCTGTGCGTCTGGACGTGGGAGGGGACACAAGCTCTCCCCGGCCCCATTCACTTTTTGGGCACCATTCAGGTGGGTGCAGCAATTGGTCTTGCCCCCTAGGAAGCGGACTTGCCAGCTCTGGAAGGTCATTCACTGGGGCCTGCAAAGTGCCATGCCATTGTCACCATCCGCAGAAGATGCTGGCAGAGCCAGGGGTGATGCATTTAGCCACGAGTGCAAAGAGGAAAGACAGTTTTCCCAACGAGCAGGGTGGGGCAAACTTGGGACAGAAAGCTGTCACATTGAAGGCCGTATGGCCCTGCTCTGAGGGGGCAGCGCAGACCCAGTCAGTGCCGGAGGCACCTCACCCAGTGCAGGGGAGGCAGAGGGAGAAGGCCAAAAAGCAGTGATGGGACGAGCAGCAAAAAGGTACATTTATCACTTATCATCTTAAAATGGAAATCAAGACCAACTGAACACTCAGCCAGGAGATGTTTATACAGTACGTTAAAAAATCTCCAAAAGGGAATCTGAGATCATCCCAGCCTGCACTTTCTTTCTCTCTAAGGTGGGAAGGGACGTCGTTGGTCTAGGGCAGGACGGGCTCTGACTTTGTCGTCTGCACTTGCGACAGCAGAGACAGAAGTCACCCACTGTCAGACCCCATGGCCCCAAGGTAGTCCCCTCCCCAGGACAGCCGCAGAGATTTCCCTCAAAAAGACCCTCACATTTCTGTTTGGAAAAGATTCCTCAGCAGCCACAGCCAGGAAGGAGGCTCTAGAGGGAGCCCAGAGCCTCCCCAAATCGGATTTTCTGTCCCGCCTTCAGCTTGAAGTTGAAGTCCTTGGGGGCCTCAAAGATGAGCACGATGGTGGAGCCCAGGTTGAACTCGCCCAGGTGCTCGCCCTTGCGCATGGGGATGCCCTCCTTGTTGGCGTGTGTCACGAAGCTGAAGTCGTTGTAGGAGCCCTTGCTGTACCTCGGGCTGTTTGTGTGCAGGTCCTGGGGGAGGTCAGGGGGCAGAGCATGTGGAGTCCTGCTCCCTGTACCTTGAACACTCATCTGGTACCTGTCCCCAACCCAGCTCGGAAAGGGAGGTGGAGACAGGGACTCGGCCCATGGGCTATGAACTGGGCCCCGGAGGAACGTGGTAATCATGGAGATCTCTGTTCTGCAGCACCCAGGAGGGCAAGAGGTGGTCACAAACCAACACCAAGAAAGTTAGCCCCGTGGGCTGGGTGGGCATTGGCTGCACCCTCACACACTCTGCCTCCAATCAGTACACCCCACCCCAAACTCAGTACTCCTCTGTGGTTCTCGGCAGAAGCAAAGGGCCAGGTGAGGAGGTTAATTCCCTCCCTCTCCAGGCACCTCCAGATGGGCAAGTGGCCGCAAATCTGGGCAGCAGGGGCACCAGGCAGAGCAGAAGCTCAGGGCCCAGGCCTTCCTCGGGGCAGCTGCTCAGCAGAGCCAAGCCTGGCAGGGGACACACCCTCCTAGAATTTATAGTCCCAACAGACTATACATAGGAGATGGGGTGAGGGGACCATGAGTGGCCCAGCCTTTGGCCTTCCGTAGGGTCTGAGCTCTGCTTACCCTGTCGAAGTAGATGCGGATGGAGCCCACATTGGTGGCCCCCACGGCCGTCAGCGAGAAGAAGCCATGTTTCCAGTCCCCAGTGAGGACCACTCGCTCATTGTGGCAGAAGAGCTCTTTGATCCAGCGGGCCATGCCAGGGTTCACGGACATCAGAGAGCCTGTGGGGGCAAGGACACTGCCACTCCCGACCCAGTAGGAGGACCAGCCTCCCGCAGCCAGTGTGTCCACTCTGAGACAGCCCAAGACCCAATGTCACCCCATGTCATCGCAAATGCAGAGCGGGCTAGACCCCGCCCTGCCCCCACTGCCCATGCTTGGCCAAACTAAAATAGTCAATTCTGGGCCTTGGCAAGCCAAATCTGGAGGCTGGGTCCCCTCACACCAAAAAGCTGAGGACCTCTGAGGCCCAGGGAAGCCGCTCCCACCCACGTGCAGCCCTGGCATACCTGGGAAGTGGCGCCGGTGGGAAACGGTCCAGTCAGTAGGAGAGTGGAAGCAGTGGTAATCCCCGGGAGCCAGGTAGATGACGCAGTGGTACAGCTCGTTCCCTTCCCGGGTGACCAGCTGGCTCCTGAAGGAGCTACAGGAGGTGGCTGAGGGGGCAGACACCAGGGCCAGACTCTCAGACAAGCACCCGAGGCCGCCTAGCATGGAACCTGCGTGCAGTCTGGGCACAGGCTCCAGGGAGGCCCCGAAGCTCCAGGCACAGCAGTTCCAGGACCACGTGCCGGCCCTCAGTTCCGATAGCCTTCCCAGCATCCCCTCCCTCCCCCACCCACTCCAGTCCTTCATCCTCTGATGTCCAGCCCAGCCACACTGCAGCAGGGCTGCCTGGCTGTGACCAGGCAAGGACCCACCTGGTGGGAAAGGCAGGTCCTCCGTGGAGGTGCGCGGGCCCAGGAATGACTCCAGTGAGTAGGTGACCCCCTTGACCTGCTCCACTTCACAGTTCTTGACCTGCCCAAAGTTGAGGATCTTCCCGTCCGACGGGCTGATCTGGAAGGGCCAGGAGAAGCTTGCTGCCAGGGAGGGGAGGGGGCGGGGCGAGGGGACACAGGCAGGGCCCTCTCCTCCCTGGGGGCACAGCCCGGGAGCGGTGCCCACTGGGCCACCTGTGGAGGCTGCTGGGACTGGCTCCCAAAGGCACAGCGGGAGTCCCGTTTCTGGAGGGAGGAGTGGAAGGCAGGGCGGGGCCTCACCACGCTGTGCAGGCCACACACAGGCCGGGCCTGCGGCTTCAGCTTGCGCCGGAAGAACTCGCTGAGGTTGCGATAGTGGTGCAGGTCCTCCACGGCGGCCTCCTTCATGTTCACCCCGAAGGTCCAGATGTACAGGCTGTAGACGGGCCTGCGCAGCCAGTGCGGCAGCTCCACTTGGTTGAGGCGGCCCCAGGCCCGCGACAGCAAGCGCGTCGGCACTGACTTGTACAGGGCCACCTGCAGGCCACAGGCAGGCAGAGTTGGCCAAACTGCATGCCCACCCCACGTCCCCCTAGTCAGCCAACCCCCACGATGGCTTTGTGATGTGGTTGTTTCTCACTAGGAACTGGACTGAGCTTCCCAAATACTCTCACAAACTGAGTACTGGCCGAGGCCGAGACCATGACATGGCGTCTTACAACTCAGGTGTTCCAGTCTAATGCAGAGGGCGAATAGCAACCGGCCTAGTCCCCAGGGAAAGACTGGCCAGCACGTTCTTACTTCTTGAAGGGGGGGCATTAAGGGATCTGATCGCGTCCCAGAGAGAAGCTTTGGCAGGAGGCGGTGCTGCTGCCTGTGTCCTGGACTGGTACAGAAAGGAGGCCCCGGGGGCATGGGAAAGGCTACGAAGCCAAAGCAAACACGCTCATCCTAACAGGAAGCAAGGAGAACACCCACAAGTCCCCCAGGGTTGGGACTTTTGCATGCAGATGCGCTGTATCATTGTCGTCTGGGCCAGCACTCAGAGGGCCTGGACTCGCCATGCCGGGAGCTCAGAGGCATTCTCCAGAGACTGGGCCAGTCCACAAAGCTGGAGGGGACTTGGCCCCCTGAGGCTCCTCTGCTGGACCCTTCAGCCGAAACTCTCAGGGCCAGGTGACCTGGAAGGAGCAGCCTCTTAAATCTCAAGTGCTGCTGCCACAGTGGAACCTGCCTCTAATCAGCAGCAGCTGCTTGTCTGAACACAACCAAGGCACCAAGTCCCCAAGGTGTAAAAGTAATTTCATTCCAACTTTAAACACCTCTACGAGGTATTGAATTACTGACTCCCACAACTCCTCCCAGCTGACACCCATCCGCTGGAGCGGCCCAGGGCTGCCATGTGACCTCAGGTCTAGTGGCCAGTGCCCCCTTAGATGCCCTTGAGCTTTCAAGCCCTCGAGACAACCACCTGGGTGGTCCAAGGGCCCAGGAGCAGTTTCCTCCTTGTGGTCAGCCTGTCCAGAGAGCCCAGGGCTCCCAGGTCCTGGAAGGCATCCTCACCCTAAGGGCCCAAGAGGTTCCAGCCTTCCTGAACCACCCTCCGGCAGCCAGGAATTAATCTGGATTCTTCTGAAAATCACCTCTAAGCTCTCTGCCTGAACATAGGAAATCAGATACCATTTTCTGAATGCCCAGTGTAGGTTCCTTCCAGAAGCAGAGCCCCTAACGGCGCGAATGCAGGCAAGGAGAGCAGGTAGTGGGCAGCAAGCCCTTGGTCAACTGTCTGCGGGCCACCTGGCCACTGACCAGCCCAGCCTTCTCAACTGACTTGCCTTTCAATCTGACAACTGTCTCCTCGAGCTCCTGGGCCCCAAGCTCAGGCCTGCCCGGGGGGAGGGCCAAGCCAGCAGTGCGCACACACTTACCCTGCTCACGGGCCTCCATCCCACCCGGCTGAGCGGTCTGAGGGCACCAAAGGGCAGGAGGTAGTAGAGGACCGTCAGGGGCCAGGAGCGCAGTTTCAGTGTGGGTCTGGACATGCAGCTCAACTGTCCCAGCCTCCGCCTCAGTGCCAGCTGGGGGAAGTGCAACCTGCAGGGCATATGTCCACGCATGGCCGGGGTCAGTGGCCGGGGTATGGGAGTGACTAGGAGGCCCCGCCCCACCCCAGGCCGTGCCATTCCTGTCTGCCCCACCCTCAGCAAGCTCGCCCCTCAATGGAGTCTGGCAGCACTGGCTGCGCCCCTTCAACCCAATCCCATTCTGAGTTGGAGGCTTGGCTGCCTCTGGTCGGCAGACTCACTTCCCGGTCTCTCCCATCTGCCTGCCAGCTGAGGAGAACGGGAATCAGAGGCAGCCGAGACCAGGTCAGGCCCAGGACCTTGCAGCCAGAGCAGCCTCTGAACATGGGAGGGGCCCCAGCAAGGGCCTTCAGGGCTAAGTACCACCTGGGCCCAGCACGGGGAAGACCGGGTGCAGAGCCGGCCTCTCAGCGCCCCCGCTCCCTGGCCAGCTCCACCCGCAGAGGCGCTGGGAGATCTAGTGTCATGACCCTGAGCCCTCAGCAGCGCAGCACAGCACAGCACAGCACACGGCAGAGCGGGTGCCACTGCTACCACCCACTGCAGGATCTGGGAAAACCCCTCCATGGCTCCAAGCCTCCTTTCCTCACCTGATAAATTAAGGGACTGGGCCTGATAAGACCACAAAGGAAAACAGACAAACAGGCACATGCACACGGACACGCACGCCTCCCCCCACCGCCCTCCCCCCAGCAACGGCTACTGCTTCGTCCATCTGTATGGACTTTCTACATCAGGCCAGGTTCTCCAAAACCGATCCAGAGGTTGGTAGGGGGAACCTCCCCAACCCGCAGGCCACCTCCCAGGTCTGCTGGGGCTGCACATCTGACCCAGGCCCCTCCTTTCAGCAAAGATGGGTGGGCCTTTCCCCAGACCCCACCAGCCCAAATTCATTGCATTCAGCACAGGCTCAGCCTCACAGGAGTTGCAGAGGCTGGGATGGGCCTTTCCACAAGAACCCTGGCCTGCAGAGGTACAACTATGAGGCCCGAGTCCCCCTGTCACATGCCTAGGCCCTAGAAAATGCTCTTGAGCCCCAGTGTAGCCATCAGGAGAGCACACTGCCACCTACTCTGAGAATGTCCCCAGGCCTCAGTTTCCTCATCTGCAAAAAGACTGCATTCAACTGGACCATCTAAGGCCCCGTCTGTGCCTGGGCACTCTCACATAAGCCGTGTCCTCTGCCCCAGTTGCTGAACAAACCAAGGAACAAAGAGGCACCCCAGCTGATACTAAAGCAGAAAACACGGAGCTGAGCTGACGGCCGGCCCCGCAGTTCCACGATGGCAATGGAAGGCGCTGCATCTCCACAGCTGCCCAGATTCCCTGGTTCATTCTCTTCCCCCCCCCCCCACCCCCCCGCCCCCACCATGTTTTAGAAAGGTCCAGAAGGCAGTAGGGACCAAGCAAAGCCAGAGAAATCACTGCTCTCCCGCAGGGTTTCCCTCACCAGCCCTGCTCTCTGCAGAAGCACAGCAACCAATCCTGAGGAGCTGCCACCCTCCTGAGCGGGGTGGGGGCACCTAGGGGAGGGGGCCTGGAGCAGCAGTTAAGGTGAGCACAGACACAGGGCCACCAGCCTGCTCTGCCTCCCCAGATACCTGAAGCGGGCTCTCCGACTCAGGCCCCCCGGGGCGGGCCCCTCCAGCTGCGGGGGCTGATCCCCCAGCCCCCTGCCACCACCTCCACCGCGGGGCCGCTGGACATGAACTCTAACCTTCCGGAGGTCGTGGCGGGGCACAGTGGGGTTACGACGCGATGGGCAGCTTCTCACCATTTCGCTGCGCGGAGCTCAGGTCCTCGCCGCGCCTCTGACTGACACATGGTAGGCGGCGCAGGGAGGGCGGCGCCAGGCACACTCGCCTTTGTTCCTCCTCCTTCCTCCCTTCCCCCCAGCCAGAGGCGCTCCTGCGCTGTCACTGCTCCACGGGCTCTGCCTCCGCCAGGCCGCCTGGTGGCTGGCGGGCCGCTTCCCCGGCTTGGTTCGGTCCGGCGGCTCACAGGGCGTAGGTTACAGGCCAGGGCTATTGCAAAGACAGGCACTGGTCACACACCTGCTCAGTGAGCCGAAGGCAGGGAGGGGACCAGGAACCTCTCAGCCCAAGGAGCACCAGTGGGAATCTGAGCCTTGCGCTCCAGGAGGGCACCCAGCGTCAGCCAGTCTGCGGCTTGGGTGGCCCCTCCCTCCCCAGGACCTGACCCATTTTCCATTCAGGTGACAAAGTAGCATCTGAGGAACGAGGGAGCGGGAAGGAGAGCACACTGAGCAAGACCCTGGGCGTCTGACTTGCTCTGGCTCTCTCCTCACTGCACCCCACCCCCAGCCTTGGGGGCCCCCATACCTGGCACCGACCCCCCAAGGCCTCCTCAGAAGATGAGCACCTGGCTGACCTCAGGGAAAACAGCGTGGAGCTGAGGCCGGACTGAAGCCCAAACAGCTCCACCTGCCCTAATCATCTCTGCTTCGAAACAGCACTGTGGCCAGCACTTGGCCGGTGGGCCCTGCCTGGCCATCTGCGAGGACACGCCCAGCCTCCACAAAGCCCCTACAGTCTGCCCTCACAGATAACAGTGAAGGAGGACAGCAAACATTGCACAGTTGTTGCTGTCTCAGCCCAGAGTAGTCAAGGCCCCGGAGATGTCGCCCACCCCCTGGCCTCCAATCCCAAACGCAGGCTGGAAGGGGCAGGCACCTGCCACCACCTTTAGATAAAGAAATGTGGGCCCACTGCTGCTCCTAAGGTAGGGAACTGACCAGCCAAGGACCCTATCCCAGGGCAACTCCGACACCCCCAGAGCCTAGGCACTGCAACAGAGCAAGAGGCCCCAGCTCAGACATGACTCTACCCAGACAAGGGTGGACGGCTGACGCACCGGCACACCCACCTCAGCCACGGCACTGAGAATGCCGGCCTGGCACCTGCCTGCAGAGTCCGTGAGTCCCTGCGGCTGCCGTGGCTGCCGGGAGCCCCGGGGCAAGGCTGACTAAGATCTGGACAAAGTGCGGATTTCCAGTCCTGGCTGAGGAGGTGGTAAGGCCTGGCCCACTCCAGACCCTCCAGCCGAGCTCTCCCCAGGCCACTCGCCTCACCGAGTGGCAGAACAGCTCACTGCGGGGTGCCAGGCAGGAGGGCGCCCACTGCCCAGGCTTCACCCAGAAGCAGACTTGTAGTGTAAGCCTCCTCCCGCCCCGAGGACAGGCCCAGGGCCCACAGACACCCTGCTCCTGCCCCAGGCCCACGCTGAGCCTGCCACTGACTTTCCCATCCACGACAGTCAGGTCTCCTGGATCATACTGCCCACCTACTGAGCACACATCTCACCGCACCCCAGCCCACCAGGCCCTGAGGCCTGGCACTGGCTTCCTGTCAGTTCCCCAGGGAGACAGGCCCAGAGGGGTGACAGGTAGTTGGGGTTGAGCCTGGTGCTTGGCTGCCAGGATGAGGCTCTTTCCCCGACTCCAGAAACTCTAGAAAGCACAGACTGAGCGCATGCCCAGGAGTCACTGTGGGGGCCAGTGAGACCTTGTGGGAGGGGACAGGAGCCCCAGTCTCCTCCTGCCAGTTTTCCTCACTGTCCTACCATGTGGGGTGGTGGCCACCGCATCAGGGTCAGAAAAGCACATTCAGGAGCCCACAGACAAACCCAGCTTGGCCCAAACCCTCAGGTCCTCAAAGCAGATTCCCGCATGTACCTCTGCACTTCATTCTCCCCCAGGGCCTCCAATCCAGGGGCTTGGCCAGGCCAGGTAGCCCAACAGAGCAGGGAGGGCCCTCGCCCCTCCCCCTGCAGTGGCGGGAGCTCAAGGGGGACCAGCCCAAGGAGTGGCTGTCCTGGAAGGACTCTAGGAACTGCCCTGAGGGGCCAGGCAGGGGATCCTCACCCCCACAGTCCTGTCTCCGTCACTCCCCTACCTCTTCTTTTAAAGCGGGGCACAGAGACCAAGGTGTCAGGCTTCTCCCAAATCACCATCTGTGGGTCCAAAAGGTCCCCAGGGAGCAGACATGAATTCACCTGTCCCCCAGGAAACAGGCAACCTCTGTCTAGCTCAGAGCTGCAGGATGGAGGGAAGAGGGTCCCTAGAGGTCCCTCTTTGTCGCTTCCCAAAGACAGAGCCACTTCCTCGGCCAGGAGTGCTTCTGGCCTCCCCATCTCGGAGCCCTACCTGCCCTCGCCACCTGTGACAGCCCTTGGACCCCAAGCCAGAGCCTTCTCCCTTCTCGGGATCCCTGAGGGCCACTGGGGGCTCAGGCCCAGACAAGGAACCTGCAAGGAGGGCATCCTGAAGCGGGGAAGTGCAGACGCTTCCCTCTCTCAAGGACACTCGGTAGAGTTGGGTTTGGGGCTATGACCAGTAGGACTTTAAAGTCATTACATGGCCTAATGGCCACCCACTTGGAATATGAGAACGCAGAGTGGCTTTGGTGGAGGACAGGGACAATCTGGTTACTGCAATCCGGGCTGCCCTCCCCCACCCCCCCCCACCCCCCACCCCCCCCCCACCCCCCCCCCCCCCCGCCCCAGGGAGCTGGGAAAGGCCTTGCAAGTCACAGGCGCCCTCTGGGTCTGTCTCCTCATCTGGAAAATGGGAAGTCATTCCTCCTGCTCAGCCCCGTGAGGCTCAGGTCATAGCTGTGACCATGGCCCAGAACAACTCTGCTCAGAAACCTCGCGCCTCACTTCTACCCAAGAGTTTGGTGCAGCTTCACCCCCCAGACCTGGAGGAGACCTCACCTCCCTCTCCGCCCACACCCTGGGAGGACAGAGGTTTGCTACCACTGGCAAGACGCAAGGAACAGGGCAGAGACACCAGTTGTGAAGAGGAGCCCAAATGGTGGGGCAGTGGCTGCTCTTCTGAGTAGGAAACAATGGCCAAGCAGGACCAGGAGTGGGGAGGGGGTCACCTTTGTCAGGATGTGCTGTTCTAGGGGTTCACACCCCAGCAGTGCTGCAACATCCCCTCACTGCCCAGGACAAGGGCAACAATACCCTCTCAGTGGAATGGAATGTTCCAACTGAAGTCCAGTGGACAGACCCAGGCCAGTTACCAGTTACTACAGGTTTTGGGGGGGCAGGGCGGTGCTCCTCCTGGTTCCCTTGGACCCTGGTAGATTCAGGTTCGAGTCTCAGCAAGGCCGGGAAGCCAGTGAGGGAGTCAGGACTGTCCGCCCCTCAACAAGCTCTCCCTCAGCACACTGTGCCTTGCAGCCTGCATGTGTCGAGCCGGAGACAACCAGAGAATTTATTCTTGCTCCCAGAGTGGAAATCTCACTGGGTGCCACGGTGCCCTCCTGAAGCTTCAGCAGAAACCCCGAGGGCCCCCAAATCCGGTGTCTACTGGCCTGACTTTCTCACACACTCCCACCTGGAGGGCAGGGCCGTTTTCTCCCCCAGCTCACCTGAAGCCAGGCAGCCGTGTCCCAGCCTGTGGAAGGGACACCAACCCTTCCTCCCCCGTGTTCCAGAGCTAGAAGCAGACAAAACTTCAGAAGTAGGGAATGGGGAAATGGCTTCTCCCCATGTGAAACAGGTGAGCCATCTTGGGGAAGGCTTGGGCAAGAGAGGAGGAAGCAAAGAGAAGGGCCCACAGGTGCCTCTTTCAAGTCAGTGGCGGGGATGCGTATGGGCCCAGGGCAGGGTGAGTGGAAGTGGGGACAGGACTCGCATGGGTCTTCCTTAAATCTCCCTAAGAAAAGGAATCTTCTTTCGGGCAATCCTCAGTGCCAGTGGCAACTGGAGCTCTGCGAAGGGCAGTGTGCCACCTCCTCCCCGCCCCTCAGGTAGGGACATGCTGACAAGTCCTAACACCTCCAGGTCCCACTGAAGAACAGTGCCACTTCCCTCCCCCTCTGGTGCTGCCCCAGGCTCTCTGGGCAGCGCTCAGGAAATGAGCCCAGAGCTCTCAGGGCAGGAGGGAACAGAGCCCCCGGCACGCCCAGCATTTCCCTTTTCCCCCGCGGCCAGCCTTACAGGCCAGGAGATGCTACAGGATGTGAAGGAAGTGAGCTCATCCAGCCACCTCATGACCATGTGGGACCAGGAGAAGCCCACAACTCCATCAAGACTGTGGGGTGGGCTCCTCAGGCCTCACAGCATGGGGCCCACGCTGGAAGGCAGTGACCCACACCCCAGGGACTGGACGGCCCTCCCACGTCTGAAAACAGGCCTTCTGGCTGGCGGGGCAGGGCAGGGCAGCTCCAAGAAGCCGCACCTCGGCCCGGGGAGGCTCACCCACTAGCAGGTGGTCAGGTCCGCTCTGCTTCCGCCCGGCCGGCAGCCGGGTAGCCGACTCGACTCCTGGGGAGGCCCCCGCTCGCTTGCTCTCTCGTTCGGCGGAAGCCTCCGGGTGGGCGGGCAGGAGGGCGGGGCTCGGGCTCCAGCCACTCAGACCGCCCAGGGGCGGGGGCAGGAGGAGACACCAGCCGCTGGAAGCCGCACTCTGCCCTCCCAGGGCGGCAGCCAGGCCCAGCCGCCGTACACAGGGCCCCTTTAAGAGGAGGGGCCAGGCTCAGAGAAGCCGGGGGAGAGCTGCGGGAAGAGGGTACCAGCCCTCTGGTCACGGGACTTCCCGGTGACGCCTCCTGGGGCTGGGGACCTCAGTCCGCAGTGATGGCCGGGCTCCCTGGGCTGTTGCCTCCCTCACCACTCCCCCTGACAAACATGCCCTTGTTCCCATCCCATCCGGGCCTCTGGGCAGGCCCGGGGCCTCCAGGTGCTGCTGACCTCACGGAGGGCCAGCTTCTGTGGACCCAGCAGAAAGCCACCTCCAGCCACCTTTTCTAGCCCTCGAAATGACAGAAGGCATCTAAGTCCTTGCTCCTTCTCACACCCCATCCTGAAGACACAGGCTGCCCCCATTCCCACCTACCTTGTCTCCTCCAGGCAGACACACCCTGACATACAAAATCCCCTGATGGAGACTAGCAAACAGGACCCAGTGGGCAAGGGCCACCCCGGGAGGAGCAAGCAGGCTTCCTCAGCTGGGATGAAGAGCCTGTGGGGTGACTTGTGGCATATCTTTCTACCCCACTAGACAGCAGAGCCCAGCCTGTGGGGTCAGCACCCTACCCCCATGCCCCACCAAGCACTCGGTCAACATGGGATGCAAGGAACCAGCTTAACATTTTTTAGACCATGGGAATGGTCTGATGGGGAACACTATTCAACCAAAGAAAGGATGTGGAATTCAGGAACCTGACCAGCATCTGCGTAGGTCACGCCCCAACGCAGCACACACCCAATGGTGAGTTTGCCTCAGTAGGCTCAGTCACCTCACTCTGGGCTACTGAACAAGGATACAACCCCAGCTACTTCTGCCCACTGAGAACTTAGTTTCTAAAGCAGTGTTCAGAACAGGAAGAGAGCCTGTGGGCCTTGTGAAGAGACAGGCGCTGGGCCAAGGAAGCCTGAAACAGGACACAGTGGCGTGCAGACACAGCCCAAAGCACCTGTCGTCCTCATCTGGATCCAGCCCAAGTAAGTGTTCCGTGACAAGATACAGCCCTAGGATGCCACAGCAGGGAGAAGATGGGTGGGGTCCTACCTCTTGAACTTCCATGATATTCGACACCTACAATGCACCAGTAGGAACAGGGAGGCAGGGGTGAGCTAGCAGAGTTCCAGCCCTAAGGGGCTCAGGTTCTTCCACGGGGCTGGTGAAGCCCTGACATGCAGCCTGCGCCTCACTGTCTGTCGCCTAGCCTGGGCCCACAGCATTCTCAGCCCCCGTGGGACAGCAGTCCTCTTCTAACCTCCAAGCAATCGCCAAGTGAGATGGGATAAAAAGGAGTTAAAGATGCTGACAGAGAATCCTAGCAACACTAAATCCCAGAAGACCATCCTGACTTCCCCAAAGCCTCCAGTACTTCCAGATGAGGCCCCAAGGGTCCCCTGAGTATAGAATAAACCTATCCCAAGGTAGACCGGGGTTGGGGGTGAGGGTGTGGATCAAAAGCCCAGGTTCTCATTTGCTGAGCAGCCTCTGGAGCATCAACACTCTCCCTGTAAAATGAGCAACAGGGCTGCTCCGCGTCTACCAGGGTTCCTTTACAACTATTCTAAGCCTCTCAGGCAGATTGGCATTTAGAAAACGCATAAACCCGACCATGGGTCTGCCCTGAAATTAGCCCTCCCTGCCTTCTAACCTGACCTCAGCCATGTATGTTTCAGTAGGGAAATGCCTTCTGATTCCAGACAATAGTTAAGAAATGACTTCTGGGAAAAACAAAAAACCCTTTGGTAAGTTTACTTTCCCACACGGAATGAAATCCCTTCCGGCCACTCTGGGTCCTTAACTTCCAGTCCAATTTGGACCTTGTTTGGACTCCCCTGGGTGGGAGTGCCACCTAGTGCCACTTGGAGGCTCTGCAGGCTCTAGGCCACTTGGCCACAGCACCTGCGGACAGGCCTCCCCGCTCAGTCAACCCACTGTAGCTCCCTCCTGAGTAACCTGATGCACTCCTGTGCCAGGGGACGGAGGGTAGTGGCAGGACAGGGGTGGCAGGTGCTCTCTGCTAATTCTCATTCCCTGGGGGCTGGTAGAGGTCCCTTGAGGAAGACCGGTGATGGCTGGTGTCCCACGGACAGGTTAGGAGCCTCACAGAGGCCTGCCAGGGAGCCCAGACAGGCATGAAGTGCCCTCAGGCCATTCCTCATCCACAAGCTTGTCCCAGCCCTGCTAAATTAAATTCTCCTCTTGCATTTGCAAATGTTTTTCAGTCCCACTAGCCCGCACAACTTCTCTGATGCCCCCTGGCCCATGCAGAGTCCTCCAGCAGCTCTTTGAGGGCCCTGCCCAGGCACCAAGGAGGGCTGGCCCGCAGCCTGATAAAGGAAACAAAGTGCTCTGAGGTGCAGCAAGCCCAGCAGAAAGCTTCCCACAGGGCCCTGTAGGCCTGAGTCGGCCACCCTGGACCCCTTCCAGCCCCACAGCTCAGCCTTCCTTGTTCCCATCTTCAGGCAGAGCCCTCTGCTCTTCCACATGCTGGCTGCTCCAAGTCACGGGAGGCAGTGCCGAGTGGCACAGGCACAGAGCTGGCCCTGGGCTGGGGGAGGCAGGGGACAAGCACAGCCTGAGCTTCCTGAGGGAGAGGCTGCCAGAGTTCCTTAAGGGCACTGGGAAGGAGGGGCCCTGAGCCCTACAAAGAGCCCAAGATTCTCTGAGGACAGAGCTGGGCTGGAAGGAAACCGCCCCTGACCAGGCGGGAGATCCACCTCCCTGCCACCTTGCCTATTTGCCCATTTTAACATCCACCATTGTTTTCTCAACACCTAGGAGGTAAGAAGTAAAAGACTGCGTCCCAAATCTCTACTCCCTGCCAGCACGAGACCAGGTATTCACACACATCACTCTCATTTAACAACTTGAGGAGGGAGTTAATAGCAGCCTGTTCACGCATAAGAAAGCTGTAACTACATGAAGTTTACAAACGTGCAGAACATGTTCAATACTGTTCAGGGTCATGGACAGCAGAGCACAGAAGAGCACGCTGAGGGCAGGCCCACGGGGCTCCGGCAGGCGGGCAGGAACGGACGCGGGGCAATGTGGAGAATGGACAGGCTGATCTCTTTATTCCTGTTCGTGACCCGGAATGGTGCACCACACACTTTTTAAAATTCTCAACTGAGGTTAGAAATAAGGAAACAGTGCTGTCACAGGGAGTGAGATGCAAGCCAGCTTCTAACTGAGGCCTGTCTACACGCTCGCTCCCCAAACACCTCAGACCTCGCCACAAGCCCCCATGGCCAGGCCAAAACAACAAATCTGCATTGTTATTATGCTCGATCTGTCCAATCAAGGGGTGTGCACGTGGGTAACTCTATTCTCTCAACTTCTTACTCTGTTCAAAAGTGTTCACAATAAAAGAACTGGAAGACTTTGCTTTGAAGAACAGAAAAACCTCTAAATTCTATTTCTGGGGAGAAAAACCCAAGATCGCATTCCCCACGCAGAGCTTCTCCTGCTCTGAGGTAAGGCGGAACAAGCCAGGCCCGCTCTCAGGGTGCCCCATCACCCACTGCTGCTACTTCAACACAGGAACTCAGGACCAAACCACTTATTTCCTGTCCACTCAGCCCAGGTCCATTCAGCACCCTGAGTGCCCGGCTCCGGGCTGGGTGCTGGTGTTTGAGAGAGAGCCCTTCACGCCTGACGGGAAAGGCCAGCTGCCAACCACAGCTCACCCTGCAGCCACAGGCCCTCTCATTTCCAGAGTCCCCTCTGAGCCTTGCAGAAAGAGGAAGACCGCGTGGACCACTTCTACTCCAAAGGGCCCATGATTTCCATCTGGCCAGCTTTTCCACCACATGTGCCTCTGTCCCCAAGTCCAGCAGCCAAGGAAGAAAGGACACCTTGGGAATGCTAGAGACCAAGGGGAGTCTGTCACCAGATGTCATCCCGCATGGAACTCAAATCACCTAGAAGTTCACAGGAAACCCCAGAATCACCAGGATGCACACCTGTGCACTCCCCCAGCCCATCTGACATCACCTGGTAACTTTAGCTTTACAGACACTACACTCTTTCCATGCCTCTCACTAAGTACTTCTGAAGGTTTTGTTCCCCCTTTCTGACTTATGGGGACAAAAGGACAGCACATCTGAAATCACAACTGGCACATGAACGCAGAACACACGAAACATCAGGCACATTCGCTGCCCTCCATCCTCTGTCTGTGCTGTTCACTCAAAGCCAGCTCTCCACAGAGGCCCCCATGTCAACCACCCTCCTCCCTAAGGCCAAACGCCAGGCCTTGGGCAGTCCAAATGAACGGGCACTTTGACCACAAACCCAGGGCTCTTCTAGGACATCATGGGTTCCTGAAAAGAAATCTGTAGCAGCATCTCCTCTACTCCCGGCGCTCTGACTGCCTACAGCTCCTGCTCTAAGGGCCGGGCATCCTTGTGGTCTGACCGGGACTGAGAGCCTTGTTTCTGGAGGACCATGGATTCCTTGTTCCATGCCATTCAATCTAAATGTTCAATTTAAGTACTCTGAACCAATTTAAACAGAGTCTAAACATGTGAAAAATGCTGAAGTGGACTCACATTTAAAGAAAAGCAAATTACAAACCATATTAAGGTACCAGAGTCTTGATGTTCCCTATTTCCTCCACAGCTCTCACTAAAGAACTATTCTACCCCTCCATCTGCTCACGTCAAAAATCACAAGTCATTTTCCATTTCTCTCTCCTTCCCCCATCCAATCCATGAGTGCATCCTGTCCACTCTTCCCTCAAAACACACCCAGAATCGAGTCCCTTCCCCTCACCTCCACTGCACCCACCCTGATCCAGGCCACCAGCACCTTCTTTTGCTGGGATATTGTCAGAGCCTCCCAACAGCTCCCCTGACTCCACTCCAGATCCCCTACAGTCTGTCTCCACAGCAGCCACACCAGAACCCAGGTCACTCAACTCTCACTCAGAGGACAGGCCCACGATGGGGTCCTCCAGCCCTTCTACCTCTCTGCCCTCTGTGCCTCCAGCCACATGGGTTCTTTGCTCTTCCTCAACAGTGACAAACACACTCTGTCCATCTTAAGTCTCAGCCTGAACTGCTCTCCCCTCAGATGCCCCTCAGCCCGCCCTCTGCTCCTACAGTCTCCACTCACCCACTCACGCAGCACTGAGTGAGGCCTTCCTTCCCTGACTGCCTCAGTTGCAGCCTAGCTCTACCCAGTCCCAGACACCTGTGCCCTTTACCTGTTTCAGTTTTCTCCATGGCATTTCAACCACTTGACACGTCCACGTGTTTATCTGCTTCTTATCCATCTCACCCACTAATAATGGAAGCTCTCTAAGGTCAGGAACTCTGGTTCTATTCACTAGTGGATCCCTAGCCTCTCAAGAGAGCCTGGCATATAGGAGGAACTCAAAGATTTGCTGAGTGAAGGAGAGAATTCAAGAAGACAGGAATCATTTTCATCTAGGACAATTTTTGTTTTGCTGACATCCAGTGTGGTTCATGTACTCAACAACAACAACTACAAATGGATACAACAGCTTTAGAAGCCAAATACATATCACAAACCACATAGGTGTCTAGACTATTGCAGACAGCAATTCCACATGTACGTATTCACCCTGAGGAAAAGATCTATATGCAAAGATGTGCTCTACAACAGTATTCACAACGGCAAAAACTACTGGTGCACCGGGGCTGGCCCCGTGGCCGAGTGGTTAAGTTCCTGCGCTCCGCTGCAGGTGACCCAGTGTTTCGTTGGTTCGAATCCTGGGCGCGGACACGGCACTGCTCATCAAACCACGCTGAGGCAGCGTCCCACATGCCACAACTAGAAGGACCCACAACAAAGAATATACAACTATGTACTGGGGGGCTTTGGGGAGAAAAAGGAAAAAATAAAATCTTTAAAAAAAAAAAAAAAACTACTGGTGCACCAAAATCGATTGTGGTAGTAGAGCCACTTAAAAGTGCTTTCACGCGGTGTTGCAAAATCATCATACACAGCAATACATATAAGGCAAAAAAGGCAAGATACAAAACAGGTATATCCATTTAAAAATAGACACAAAGACAGGAAGTGAATGCATAAAAAATAAAGCCCATGATTATGCAATCGCAGTCATATGGTCAGAAGGGGTGGGAATCACGACTGTCCTGTTTTCCAACATTCTGTCACAGTGTTATATCAACTCTGTCACTTAAAAGAGAATGCGATTGATTTCCACAAGGGTGCCAAGACCATTCAATGGGAAAAGGACAGTCTTTTCAACAAATGGTATTGGGAAAACTGGATACCCACATGCAAAAGAATGAAGTTGGCCCCTTACCTTACACCATATAAAAAAAACTCAAAATCGATCAAAGACCTAAACATAAGACACAAAACTATAAAACTCTCAGAAGAAAAAAGGAGAAAATCTTTGCAAATAAGTCAGCAATGATTTCTTGGATATTTCACCAAAAACACAGGCAATAAAAGTAAAAATAAATTGGACTTAATCAAAATTAAAAACTTTTGTGCACCAAAAGATAGTATCAAGAGAGTGAAAAGACGATCTATAGAACGGGAGAAAATATTCACAAATACATATAGCTGATAAAGGTCTAAGTATCCAGAATATATAAAGAACTCCTACAACTCAGCAATAAAAAATAAACCATCCAATTTAAAAATGAGCAAAGGACTTGAATAGACATTTCTTCAAAGAAGATATATAAATAGCCAATAAGCATGTGAAAAGATGCTCAACATCATTAGTCATTAGGGGATGCACATCAAAACCACGAGATACCTACTTCACACCCACTAGGATGACTGCTGTCGAAAATAAATAAGTGTTGGTGAAAAATATATAAAGAACTCATACAACTCAACAACAAAAAAAACAAACAACCTATTCAAAAAACGGGCAGAGGCTATGAACAGAGATTTTGCCAAAGAAAATATACAGATGGCCAACAGGCACATGAAAAGATATTCAACATCACTAATCATCAGGGAAATGCAAATCAAAACTATAATGAGATATCACCTTACACATTTTAGAATGGCTATAATTACCAAGATAAAAAACAACAAATACTGGATGTGGAGAAAAGGCAACCCTCATACACGGATGGTGGGAATGCAAACTGGTACAGCCACTACGGAAACCAGTATGGAGATGTCTCAAAAAGTTAAAAATAGAAATACCATCCGATTCCACTATCCCACTACTGGGTATTTATCCAAAGAAGTTGAAATCAACAATTCAAAGAGACTTATGCGCCTCTATGTTCACTGCAGCATTATTCACAACAGCCAAGACATGGAAGTAACCAAAGTGCTCATCAACTGATGAATGGATAAAGAAGGATGTGGTACATATATATATATATATATAGTGGAATACTACTCAGCCATAAAAAAGACAAAAATCGTCTCATTTGCAACAACATGATGGACCTTGAGGATATTATGCTAAGAAAAACAAGCCAGACAGAGAAAGACAAACACTGTATGATTTCACCCAGATGTGGAAGATAAACAAATACATGGACAAAAAAAACAGATTAGTGATTACCAGAGGAGAAGGGCATTGGGAGGTGGGCATAAGGAGTAAAGGGGCACATATATATGGTGACTGACAATAATGTACAACTGAAATTTCACAATGCTATAAACTATTATGACCACGATAAAATAAATAAATAAATAAGCGTTGGTGAGGATGTGGAGAAATTGGAACCCCCATGCACTGCCAGTGGGAATGTAAAATGGTACAGCCACCGAGGAAAAGTTTGGCAGTTCCTCAAAAAGTTACACATAGCATGACCATATGATCCAGCAATCCTAGCCCTCCTTGTTTGTAATGAAATCCAGGTGACTTTACACCAATAAAGAGCTAGGTGCTCTAAGGCTGAGAACCAGAAAGGAGGGAGCCATGCAGAGAAGAACTCCATAAATCTACAGAGGGGTTCCCCTGAGTCCCTTGCTGAGTACTAAGCATTGACTTTCTAGGGTTAAATTCCATGAGGCTGGCAAAGAATAATCTTTGTGAGAGCTGAAAGCCAAATAATTCCCAGAGCTCACACAGGACCAGGAGACATCTGCATTTCAACCAGACAGATAGAAATTCCTCACTGTATTTTACTCAGGGCATTTAGGAGACACCCGAGAAGGGTCACACCTTAGTACAGTAGCAGGGCTAAACCAGCCCAGCATAAAGACTATTCTAAATTCATCCTAACAAAGCTTCAAAACAAACCTAAAAGGATCAAAGTGATCCACAAATAAGCTGACTGCTAGAATAAAATCTAACACTATTCAATGGAAAACAACAAAATCCAGCATTCAAGGAAAGCAAAACTCACAATGTATACTGAATCAAAATAACTAGACATGTGAAAAGGCAAGAAAACAATCAGGAAGAGGGTAAAAAATCAGTCAATAGAAACAGATCCAGAAATGAGAGAAGATAATGAAATTAGGAGAAAAGGACTTTGAGATGGCTACATAAACAAGTACAATACACTCAAGGATTTACAGGAAAATATGAGCATAATAAGAGAAATGGAAGACATAAAAGAGAATCACTTGAAACTTCTAAAATGAAAAAGAGTCTCTACAATGAAAATTTCTACCAAAAAAACTACTAGAATAAGTGTATTTAGCAAGATCACAAAAACTCTCTATATTGCTAATAGAAACACAAAATGGTACAACCACTTTCAAAACAGTGTGGTAATTTCTCATAAAGTTAAATATACACATACCTGTGACCAAAGAATTGTACTTTTAGGTATTTACACAAGAGAAATGAAAACAAATGTCCACACAAATACTTATACTCAAATATTCATATAGACATTATACATAATAGTCAAAAGCTGTAAATAACCCAAATGTCCACCAACAGATAAAGGATTAAAAATAATTTGTGGTATATCCACCCAATGAAATACTACTCAGCAATAAAAAGGAACAATCTGTCAATATACGCAATATAGATGGATCTCAACATTATCGTCAGTGAAGGGGAGAAGATCCAAGATGGCGGCGTGAGCAGACTTCTTTGTCTCTCTCCCTTCGAATCTACAACTAATTGGACATTCATCGCTTGACAAAGGATATCTATGTAGCATCTCAGGACGTCAGAGAGACCCACACTGCTATACATCGGAAGGCGGACGGACTTCCCTCCGGGAGGAGGTGGAGATAGGTGAAAACTCTCCAACCCCGACCCCCGAACAGCCTAGAGCCTGCGGGCAGCTTTCTTCCAGCGGACGCCCCCAGAACATCGCCGCATGCCAAGGGCAGGAGGGAGCGTACACCAGAGGAGCGACGGTGGAAACAGGTGAACAGAGCCCTACCTAAGCCCCCCGCAATTACACCTGAGCCCAGAGGGAAGCTCCAGAGTTACATACCGGAGGCAGTGGGGAAAACCCCTACCCGCCATTAGCAGAGAGGTCCCGCCCAGTACCCACAACGCTTGGGGGCTCCCGGAGAGAATCCCAAACGGCGCGCCAGCCCGCCAGCTGCCGCTGCCACCAGCTCCGCTGACCAGGCTTTCACCCGGGAGGGGCTCAGGACTACCAGAAATCTCCTGGGAGAGGACTGGGGCTGGGTGGAGCTCCAGTGGCTGGGTGCGCGGCCCAGGGGAGAAACTCTAGAGTTCCATCCTGGCAGCAGGCAGAGTCTTTACCGGCCATTATCAGAGAGGCCCCGCCCAGCATCCACAATGCTAGGTGAGCTAACCACAGACTGCAGAAGATGCCCATAGTTCTGCTGTGACCTATAGCGGACAAGCGAGATTTTGTGGGCGCCGACAGTGACAGAGCTGCAAATATAAGTGATCCTGCCCCTGGCCGCTGGGAAAGCCCATAACACTGCTGCAGACCCTAAGGAGGGAGCACGTCTAGGTGGTCTGCAACAGTAGGCACCAGCAGTCTGAAGCCCCCTTGTGACGGCCCCCACAGCTGAAGAGGGAACCCACAGGACCACTGTGACTACGAGGAGGGGCCCAGGCCCAGTTAGCAACAGCTGATAGGGTTCCTGGTTGGTGCAGTATAAACAGCTGTCCCTCCACCACACCAGTAGAAACAAGTGGAAGCAGTGACTAAACTCTATCTCTATGTGGAGGCACAAATCTACACCATCAAGCAATATGAAAAAATATATTAAATCTCCAGAACAGAAGGAAGATGACAAACACACAGAAAACAATCCCAAAGACAATGAAATATACAACCTAAATGATGATGACTTCAAAACAGCCATCATTAAAAAACTCAATGAGTTAAAAGAGAATTCAGACAGACAACTCAACGAGTTCAGGAGCTATGTCACAAAAGAGTTCAATACTATAAAGAAGAACCAAACAGAAATACTGGAAATGAAGAACACAATAGAGGAGATTAAGAAAAATCTAGAGGCACTGAACAGTAGGGCCGATAATATGGAGGAAAGAATTAGCAATTTGGAAGATAGGAATATAGAAATGCTGCAGGCAGAGGAGGAGAGAGAGCTAAGACTAAAAAGAAATGAAGAAACTCTCTGAGAATTATCTGACGCAATTAGGAGATGCAACCTAAGGATTATACGTATACCAGAGGGAGAAGAGAGGGAGAAGGGGGCAGAAAGCCTATTCAAAGAAATAATGGCTGAGAACTTCC